TTGTGCTCGAATGCTTTCCGTAGGCAAAATAGCTCATGGGCGAGTCATCGCTTGCATCAGCATGCGACTCGGGCTGCTTCTGAGTGCTGTTCATGCCCATGCCCATGCCCATGTCCATATCCATGGCGTGGTCATCTCCATGTGGGATAGCACTGGCGAGGGAAGCGAATACAGACGCAGCCGCGATCGCGGCGTGAGAAGCTTTCTGCCACATGGGTGCGATGTTTGTATTATTAGATTATAAAGCGAACACGAAGGGAAGGACAGCTGAATGCGAATCTTGTCGCAAAGCGGATGGCCCGGAAACCCCGGTCTCGGTACTGAGAGCCCCGAAATTTTTGTTTATAAGTAAAGAGCTGTATGAGCACTGGGCGCGACCAGTAGAAGATACTAGAGAGGATTCAACTTTATGGCAGGTGGTGCGCCAGCTCCTGAAGGCGCAACACACTAGAGGAGTATAGGGCTGAACTATGGAGGGTGACAGGAAGAGGTGGAACAGAAGGGAGAATGCAGGAGGATTATATGGAATCCAACCAGACCACCGTAAGCTGTGGAAGCGGGTACCACAGGACCGTGTCAATCTTTTTAATTCTTATTCATGATCTGGTATTGCCTGTCTCGCTGGAGCTCTCGCGGTTCTTTCGGAGCGGGCGGGGATAAGGTGCAGCGAGGCCGACAGGGCCGTGGAAACAAGAAAGTCACTGATTGACTGAAGCTCCCCAAAGCTCCGTGTGCCGAAAGTGGAGTTTTTGGGAACACGCTTCACGCTAGGCGCCGAGCTAACAAGGACATGGGATGTCCGATGCTCTCATTTTTTGTTGTGTGTCAAACCCCGTAATAATAAACCTGTTGGTGTTTGGTGATACTATCACGGTCTTGTCGATATACTCCGTTCCGGTTGATTTTCTGCCTCGATGAAGCGGTATATACCTGAATCCATCGTCATCATGACTTGCCTCCCAGCAGTTTGGAACCGTTGGTGTCATAGGTAGACGGAGTAGGTTAGGTTGACAGCAATTAAAGTCTGGACCTCGAAAAGGAAAAGGAATTACGGATGTAAATTACGGAAGTATACAAACTGGATGATCATCAAGGTTTTGTATTCTGTAGGCCGCACGGAAATCAAATGCGCTTACAAAACTCCCAAAAAGTACTTGTTGGAGGCTTGGAGCAGCCAAGGATTAAGGATGTACGGAGTAAGGAGTAGTAGCGGACGCAATGTAAAAATTGGGAGGTGTGAAAAAAAAAGAAAAAAAAAACCCCAAGAAAAAAAAGCGCTTGGCATGGCTCTCTCGGATGCTCGGAGCTACCGGCTTCTTCCCATCGTGCCGTGAAAGAAAAAGACATGACCTCATCCCAAGGTACCGGCTGGTTAGCGCCTGGCCTAGAGCCTGTAGTCTATGGGTTAGGCACTACTTCTCGGGTGTCTATCTAGACAACCATGCTAAACATAGTCTTACCCAACATTACAATTTATAAAGAGACAAACTGTCAACAAAGGACAGGAAAAAAATACCAACGGCCTCAATAACACATAGGCAACTAAGGTACAAAGTTAGTGAAACCCCTATAATTACCGAGTCAGCATTTCGTTATTGCCCACGGCAATAACATTGAAACAATCTTAGCTTTGGACCAGTCACCTGACAAAGAATATCGTGACCTTGTCTCCACGGATTTTTCTTTGTCTTATTTCTATTTTCTTCTCTACTCTCCTCTCTTATGTTAGGCAGCTGTTGTTGTATAAACCAGTTGATCTCGGCAAGAAGGCTGAGCACATACCGCCAGCGGCGTGATTTGCCAGTGTAGGTAGCGTTGTTTGTCAATCTTCGTGGCCCCCAAGGGGTGCGGTGAGGCAGTGAAAACAATACAGTAAACATTCCTATCTAGAATCTCATCAGTTACTGCCATTGCCTTCTAAAGGTTAAATATCATGTACGATAACATGGGCGCGACCGTCCACCTTTCTTGCATACAGGAGTTTGTGGGGTTGCCCTAAGGATGGGGAATATGCGTACTACTAGGAAAAAGACATCCACACTACTCTGTACTCCGAAATAGGTATACATGGCACCTACACCCCGTATATCTTTCACTCAAACAACAGCGCGGATGATCATGCGTCTTCCAAATTTATGCAATCTCATATCTTTACCAAGCTAAATGGTTGAACTCTTTTTGTACACGACGATCATCCCAGCAACCAGTCAGGTCGCTTAAATAGGCATTCGAAGCGGAACTAGGGCCGAGACTTGTATACCCCTCTTCTGCATGAAGATCAAGCAACATACCATTATCACAACGTTGCCCTCGTGTACTCCATGTCGCTTCACACAGTCGGCGACTTAGCCGGAGCATACTTGTTATTGGTCCAGCTGAGAGGCACTTCATGTTGCTTATTGGAGGATTATACCTAGCTTTGGTAAAGCCTTATGGGCTGATCTCACAGCTAACTGTTTATGATGGTGTAATATGACGCTCTGATGCAGGCAGCGTCGTACTAGCCCACCGCTGTTCTCTTTTTCTATAACGGGCATCATACAGGATCTCCATGGGAGGATAAGTTTTCTAGGTAGGTTATTAGTGAGGGGCTGAGGGCTCTTGGTACTGACAGGACGTGCTTCCTCTTAGGTATAATAAAGGAATCCTATAATCCTTACTGCCTATGTGGCAGATCGTATTTGCATCCCGCGACAGACGGCCAAGGACACAGCAAATGTGACGGCCAGCAAATAAGATGGTCGGGGCCAGAGTACACAACCACAAGGCGGTACGGAGGACGGAAGTACTAGTATGTACGAAGGATCACAATCAAAGCGTCGATCTACCAGTGCGGTCATCAATTCATTCAACCCTCGGATGAGAAAGGGGATCCACTAAGTGGGTCTCGCACGTTGACATGGACGGACTCATTAATCATTTACTGCCCTGTGACCGTGTGTTCTCATCTGACAACCCAACCGACGATCCTGCCTTGGCTGGCTGGTTGGCTCTTGGTTGGAACGGATCAACTTCTCGTCTCATCCGCGGTCTTCCGTAAGAACGCCGAACTGCGAGAAAAAAAATTAAAAAACAAAATAAAGAAAAGAAAGATGGCTATCCCAGTAAATTAAATCATTCCATCTGTTGGTCATCATGTACTCGGCACAACCAGCGTATACACACGCACTTTCCAGCTGGACACACAGCCTTTTCCTTCGGAATTATGAATTAGTGTTTTCAAAAGGTTCTGGAGCTTTCTTTTTCTTGAAATTTTTTTTATTTAATTTTGATAATCTGCACCTCTTCGTCGTCGTCGCTTATGCGTTTCCGCTCGAGTGGTGTGACTCATTCGCTCCGCTCTATTAGTAATTTTCACCTTGACCCTTGTCATCATGATTCATCTTGATCTCTTTCGTTCCTGAACGTTGCCCTCGAGTACTTGGTGTTCCAAGGCAAATCTTGCTTGGCGACGACGTCTGGATATCACTAGCAGACAGAAGGGGCTTGCTTGTACGTATCGTGTCTAGCGGAGTAGTGTAGAGTTGGACAAAGCACACGACGACCAACGAGTGAAATGAAGCCATAGTTGTGATGGGCTTGTACATACGGAATATGCATACATCCATCACAGAAATTGTCCGTGCTGTTAGCGACTCCAAGGGACCCACTATCTCGACTAGTTCCAGGGTATGGGCTTGGCGATAATGAACGGCCTCGACGGAATGGTTACAGCCTCATAAGATCACGGCTCTCAAGAGCCTTGTCCTTCATATTTGCTATCATCCTTGGGTATAGCGATAGCAACTCGTGAAGTCATTGCCGGTGAATTCTCACAGAATCGGGAGTGATCAACCACCGACTAAGTAGGGTTGACCTTAAATTGGGAACTCAAAGACAAACCCTTTTAGGTTATTGGCGCTGAACGGGCGCTACCTGCCCTGTAAGCCATCTACACTAACCGTATCCAGTGCCGATGGACCGCTCCAAGGATGCCGACGTCTTATGGTGTACCTTGACAAAGACACATGATGTATCAACTCTTGCCCGCCAACTTTTCTTGCATTGTAAATGTACCAGAGTAAGACACAGGGGCCTCATTCCGCAGATATTGACATCCTACATAGTATGTTTGTACGTACATATTTCAGCCGCATGACGTATCCCCAGAAAAATACGTAATGTGGGCTGACACCTCCCCAAAAGAGATGAATTATGCACATTAAAATACACGGCACAATAACTCGTAAATCTTACACAAGCCGTCTTCGATCTGATCCGTGATAATCCCGACGGAACAAACTCCCTTCTCTAGTATCCCTCCATCGTCGCAAAATTTTTACTCTTCCTAGTAATTGCATCGGAAATCCGGCACCTGATGCTCGTCGTGTGGTGAGGACAATCTCCGAGATCGCCAGTGCTTCCCCACCAATCACCATGGTCAATTCATTCTGTGCCGGATGGATACTACCTAGTCGCCGGACCTTCCACGGATCATTCTTTACCTAATGTGTACTAAGATTCAGGTGCGTGCTTTCCCGACTACGAGACGCTAATTAGTTAACTAGGGGACTTTTCTTATGTAAGTGGGGTTTCGATGGGTCTTTTGGTGGATGGGATCTAGAAGATTTTGAAGTGGAATCGTCTTTTGTTCTTGTATGCATGTGTTGTTTACTCGTTCGCGTTTTGAATATCGGGATGTGCTTCCATTTTTTCGAATGCAGCTAGTGTCCCACGTGATATCGTGGTCTTCTATGAAGCACACCATTCTTTCCTGTGCAGCTGGGATCTGTCTAATTGCAGCTTTCATTGACATTTTAAGTACAGCAACGCTGATGATTGACGGAGAAACTGAAGCCTCAAAAGCTATCACAAGCGGCCCTGAGTGCTGGAACATAATGTGTTGCATCTACGCAGACTTCATGTATCACTGACATGTAGTAGAGCTATCATTTCGTCCTCTTATGTTTATGATACCTGACAAGGACCAGGTAGAATGTTTCGTTGCACAAGTGGCTTGACTAAGTGTGACTGGAGCATGCCTCGAGAAAGTGAAGAATCTGGTCAAACCCCTCAGGCTCCTTGACCCAATGGCCGTCCCCCTCCGCCCCAGTGAACTCATGCCACTGAACAGGGATTTTGATATGTTGTAAGACTCGAGCTGCTTGTCGACCCAGGTCCACGGACACCCAGTCGTCGTCGGTCCCGTGGCTTAAAAATACAGGCGTTGATAAGATCAAGGTGTCGATGGTTTCCTTTGTCTGCGATGCCTCGGAACCGAAGATTGTGTTGAGAAAGAAACTAGCCACTGAACGTTGTATCGGCTGTTCGCTGAGGGCATCGATAGCACGGCTTTCCTGCGAACTTTGAACCAGTTCTTCTACCTGTCGTGCAAACGGCAACCAGCCGCAAAAACCCACAAAGCCACCAAGTGGCTGGTGGATCTGGTTGGTGGCACAGAACAATGTCCATAAGGCGGTTGCCATTCCCTGACTAATACCTCCAAGATAAATATGGTCGGTCTTCCCATCGAGGATACCTATCTCGTGGTGCAGGATGCCCAGGATGTGGGTGACCGACTCCCTCAAACCGGCAGTCTGCAGCTCCTGTCGTTCATGGATGTCGTCCAAGGAGTATGCGTCAAACCAGGCACACAGTTCTTCCTGGAACCTGTCACTCCAACAATTGCGAGCGGTGGGAAATACCCAACGCCAGTTCGGGAGGCAAGAGGCCAAATTGTGGCCCTTGGAGGTTATGGAGGAGAAGAGCTCCTCGGCGAACTCAGGTCCATTACTGCCGCGGCCATGGAGCAGGATGACTGTGTGCGTGTGCGGACCTCGCGGTAAGTGGATGTGAGGCTCAGGAAATTCCATTCTTTCGTTGTATAATATTTGGGTTGGTGTTTGTAAGTTCGAGGGTTCCAGCAGGTACTTCGCCGCTTTTATACCCCGCAATCCGCATCAAGTTGTACACTGGTATATAGTACAGGCTAATTCAGCCACACCAACTGCGCAGCATCAAATCAACGGTTTTGGCCATACACCGAGATTACAACAGGTGTAATTGTATTCAATGCTTTCACCTATTCCCAATACCCCGTTTACCAGCCATATATTTTCCAGTCAAGGATTGCTGTGATTCTCCTCTGGCAGCCTGAAAGACCACTTAGGCTTGAATGCTGCAATTGGAGAGCAATGGCCATCATTATGTTTCGGGCGTGGGGATCAACATGCGAAAAAAACACTTGGTGATTATTTTCTACATAAGAATCTAGTATTCCAATCTGCACGGTCCTGGTACGTTGTTTGTTGAATGCAAGGAATATATTGACGCCGTGCTATTGGTAATAGGTTCTTCGGCTGGGGGATCAGGTAAGTGGCTGTACTTGCCCACAATGCCTTCCAGCTGTTATCTAATCGAAATATTTTGGGCTCTAGATATTCTATTTCGTATCTAGCGGTCCGCTAGGGACTCGCAACATGAACAGGAAGATCCATTTACTGTTTATCCATTAAAGGACGCCATGTATGCCCGGTGATGGGTCATCTGGTGCTGATGTTTAATATAATCCAACATTGAGATGTGACTTATGTCAATATTATGGAGACTCTCAGCACAAGCTCCGAAGAGAGACCAAACACGCCAGTGGATCCCAGATGCAAATGACATCATTAAAGACGACCAATATGTTGAGTCTGTCAACAATACTAGACAACTCTGGGCTCGCTCCCTCATCAGATGTTTCTATTTATGCTGCGCTTAACGACTGCATAATCTCGACATCCTCTGGAATCCGATATTCATATCCACTATCTCGGACGGATGATTTGAGTTGCTAAAGACCGGCATTGCCGATTTCACAGCCGAGTCGCCGAACGCTTTTCATAATGTAGGATAAATTTTGAGTTGATGTTCTGGGAGACCAGCCATTTTCATGGAAAGATATGCTTTAACTTTAGCGCTTATATTATCGGAGGTTAAGCTTGTTGACTTTGGTGAAGGTCTCTTCTTCGGCGTGTTAAACAGGATCTTGCAGAATTGGGTTTGTTGGTTTCTCTCCGTGCATCATGTATAGTCAAGCACCGGATTTCTGTCAACACAGATGCGAAGCGCTAATCAGTCCAAATGGACCTGAATCATGTCAAACAACGCCTGACTACTCAGGCAACCAAGTCGCTCGGCTGGACCATATATTCATATACATAAAATGAATCAACATTAGATGAAGCAAAGACTAGCATCTACCTAGCATAGTAGTTACTGACTCGGTAGTTAATAAAGTAAATAGAAAGCGGAGAAACATACGCCCGCCGATCCCCAGAACCCGATAAAAAGAGAGCGAACTAAACCCAAGCCAGCAAGACGCGGCATCACATGACCATCTTATCCTAACCCGCAGCCCAACAAAGTTTAGCGCCGCTCAAGCGAGCTGGTCCGAATCGGGAACAGAGAAAGCACACAACGGATTTTCCAACCCTAACATTCGTCTCCGTTCAACCACAACCGCCCAGCGACGACAACCCGCCTGCCCAAACACCGTCAACCCGTCAGGTTTTCCTCGCCGTCGAATCAATTCAAGATGACTCACGAGTCCGTGTGGTACAGCCGCCCTCGCAAGTAAGGACACCCCCCATTTTTCCCCCGTGATGACGATAAAAAAGACATTTTGGCTAATGGTGGTGCGATAGGTACGGCAAGGGCTCCCGTGGATGGTATGTGAAGGCTTGAAACCGCAATTCAACCCCCCATTTGGACGACGATGGGAACTTCGGTGATGGGACAGCTTGGGACTGATTGTGTGGTTTTTTTGACGATTTAGCCGCGTTTGCACCCACCGCGCTGGTCTTATCCGCAAGTACGGTGTATGTGGAATATATCGATCTCTGAAGAGTTGTGTTGGGATGTTTGAAACTGATACGGGGTTTTATAGATGAACATCTGCCGTCAGTGCTTCCGTGAGAAGTCTCAGGACATCGGTTTCCACAAGGTTCGTGACATGGCCTGCGCGATTGAAGATTACCACCCGCAACCCCCAGCAACCACGACGAAAGAAAGGAATACCCGGAAGAATATATAAAAAAGAAAAACATGGGAACACCGTTGGAGCTGGGGAGTGCAGATAGAGAAAGAAAGAAACCCTATCACTAACGCTACCCACTACAGTACCGTTAAATCAAATACCAACTGGAAATTCCTGTTCACGAAATTCGTCACGTCCTCGGCGCTCGGTAACAACCTTGGGAAATAGCGGAACGGACCACCGATTCGATTCGCTTGGGATTCCGACGGGGAAAACAGATATGGAATAATAAAAGTTGTTGGAGGAAAATCATGCACGGATGCCGGTGTTGACAATTTATTAAAGGTGTCATGTCGAACCCTTTTTTCTTTTCCCCCAATTCATACATGGATTGAAATGAGGAACTTTTCTGGAATTTATTACCTGGGCTCTCTTTATTCTCTTTCTTCCACAACTCCAGACGCGCTGGTCGATGACTGAAAGATCTAATGAGCACATGCTGTTCGCACTGCCATGTTGGTTTGTAGTGTCCGTAATGATCGAGGTAGAACTTTGTGCTATCAGGACCGGTTACAAATCATGGAAAGACTATGTCGCCTACTCTGGGGTGTTCCTTGATAAGGTACCCAGCAGCGGTAGATTACTGGACTTTGGGACACTAGTCGAATTGCTTATATATCCAGACGTCATGGTATGCCTTGGATAGTTTGCATCTTGTCTATACCAGTAGAAGGAAGTGTCTGGTGAACCTTTGCGTGAAATATGTAGATTGTCAACATGTATGGACACTTCGATCCAATGACACTGGTCATGCAATGGTTTAGTTTTCTATACTAATAGGTTGATCCTACAACAATGACCTAACTAATTCACATGCATATTGCAAACAAAGATATAAACCCATGCCCATGGACTCCAGGCCAAAAAAGAAGTATGCAATGAGCAACTAGTCCACATTACAATGTGGTAAATCTAGGTCCTACTACTGCGATGGAGCACTAGCTAAGGACCGAAGGTTGTAAAAGAGAAGATATGCATCGGCACTGAGGACATCGGCCTCGGTCACAGACGTGACTTGGTCATCGTTGAAGAGTATCCACTATTCATGTTAGTGATAGTCCGCATTTCACAGTTGCATGTTCACGGATGGTGACCAGTTACGGTAGAGGGGAAACAAACCTCATCACCCTGCCGGCAGTAGACGTAGTAATGCCCTGCATCCAATTTCCCTTTATGCACCACGGCAGATGAAAGGTCATAGATATATCTCGATTTATCCGCGCGGGAGTTGGGGTTGGTTGTGTACGGGAGCATGTTGATAGACAGTGGGAAGTCTATGCGGCCCTCCAGCTTCTCGGAGACTGAAAATGTATGTTCATAGCGCTGCAATAAAATCAATCAAGAGTTTGGTGAGGCTCAATGTAGCGACTTACCTTTAGTTGCATACATAGAATTGCCGGCAATTTCTTAATGCGTAGTTGTTTCGTGGCCTTTTGAGCGCTCCCACCGCAACCACTGCAGTTGTAAACGCCTGCCATTAGTTTTTCAGGGGATGTGAAGCTTTCCAGGCATCCGCTCAACGTCGGAGGGGACGAGGCCCTAGCACCGCCCATGGCGCGCTTCTTCGCCTGCACCTGGACATCCAAACTTAGATCCACCATGGGATCGTCCGTACGTGTGACATTTCCACACTTGTCACATGTTACGCTACTTCGGAGCTTGCCGTAAAATGTCTTGTGGAAAAAGCAAGGGCAGCCTTTCTCATGGTTCTCGTGGTGTCCGTCAGTACTAGAGTGTAGTTTGTCGACAAGAAACTGGTAGTATTCATGTGCATCTTGTTGCTGATATCCCGCTAAGGCCTGCTAGAGTCAGTTAGTTGATTCTCGCGTTGCTTTTAAAAGAGAAATGACGTACAGAGCTTGCACGCCACGAGGCCAAAAGCAGGTTCAGGGCTGCAAACCCTTCTGCCTTGTCACTGCTGTTGAAGTCCGCAAATGCCTCTGCAACAGCGCACGCTATACAATCAGACATGGTGCAGTCATGTGATTGATGTCCGCTTCCTAGAAAGTAAGTGTTGAGGATTGGGTCATGAAGGAGCGTCTGGAGAATAACATTCAGATAGCATGTTTGTCCGAGGTTGAATAGCCCCCTGACACCTTGCTTTGCACAAGAACGCTTGTTTGCATTACTCCTGACGTATAGCTCGTCGGTCGAGCTTTCGCTAAACCGACGTTTTTGAGCAACTGGATAGAATTTAGCAATGAGTGAAACCTCACGGGCAGGGTGGCATCCATACGTTTTAGCGTGCTTTCTGCTGTTGATGATCTTAGTCTCTCAAGGCCATAGTCATAAACGAAGTCTCCACATCCCTGACAGAATAGCGTGCGACTTCTTGATTCCATGTCTGAGGCAACAGTCAGCCAGTGGCTTTGGTTACAAGCTTGACATACTCACAGAATTGATGACCGGTCTTTTCTGTATGGGCCTTTCGGTCACCATTTATGAATGGATCGGAGCAGGTCAAGCACATGTACTTTGGTTTTAAAAAGCTGGTTGTACGTAGGCCTTTCTGTGTAGTAGCCGACTCCCCAGATTTGGATCGAGGAGCCAAAGCATTATGTGTCTTGATAAATGATGCCCTGAACTGGTCACCCGCACCTCCGTCCTGGGAGAGTTGCGCCGTAAGATGCTCTTCCAGGCAAGTTAGCATTATTAAAGACAAGTTCTAGGAACTTCCAGGGTGACCGCATACCGCAACCAAACTCAGCCTCGGAGAGGAGCGAGACACAAGCTACGCTAGCCATTGCGAGGTGGGATTAAGGGGATTATATGTTGTACCAGACGTATCAAAAGAGCTGTGCAGCCAAGGATAAGCCCGCGACACCGAAGAACGATTGTAGGTATATCACAGTAGGTGCCAAGGGATCCTTCGCATAGATGGAAGAGAGTGACGTTGGCTTCAGCTGCAAGTACAATGGAAATCCATGGATTTAAACGCCGTCAAGTACCTTGGCTGTATCACATCAGCATCATGATTCTCGGAGGCCTGCTCCCAACAAATAAAAGGCCTTTGAACTGCAGCAATTCGAGAGTGTCTGAACTGGATGTGGTGACCGCAAATGGTTTGCGCGGCGACTTCTGTGTTCCGTCGTCGGCTCCGTCCCGAACGCTACCCCAGATAAGTAAGGTCCTTAACTCCGTAAGACCGGGTTCTGTCTCTAGACTGAGCAACAGCCCCGAACGAAGGGATATGGTTATTATATAAATGTGATATAAGACAGCCCTAGTATGGTTCTTGAGAATATTTCCGCAGAGACCTTGAAATGGCGATTGGCGCTGGTGACAAACGCAGAGGCCATGACAGATTGAAAGATCCTTTTTTTTTCTCCCGCAAGGGTTGCGCGATAAGAAACCGGGATTGCATTTGATCCGAGAAATACGGTACGTATCGATATGCTACCTATAGTCTCACCACATGGTCCCGAACGCCGTCACTTTACAGGATACTAGTAAATGTATTGATTTACGATCGTCTGTAATTCTATCCTTGACATGGAAGTGGTCAGTGACTAGATAGTCACTCCGGCAAGAACTTATTCTGATTCACCTTGAGACATGAATACCTAGACTAGAATCTACTGAAGTTAGATGGCAGTACTAGGTACAGGAATTTGCTGACTCGGATGTCTCTCTAAGTTTTAGCCCTTATATAGAGCTGTCCTCGTATGTCCAAGTAGTTGGTCGGTCAGAAACCAAAGCATGGTGACTAGAATAGATTGTCTCCCGGGGAAGTCCCGATTGGACTCTCTAGCATGGATCAACCACTCCCTTAGCTCATTGCGCTGCGTGAGTTTGTCGGGTCTCGCCATGAAATGCCGATGGTATGCCGGCTAGCGATAGGTACCCTTTGTACGAGCCAAGGAATTGACAGGGCCATGTTCGTACACTTCCGAGTCGGTCCATCGAGAAGGATCATGAAGTTTTCATCACTGATATTCACCGCAGCCCTCTACCCCTTGGCAGCGCGCTCGGACGAGCCCGACTAGTGCCTCTCGTTGTATAACGACCACGAGTACTAGACCCTCTTGTGGTGCCCCGCGACGAAGCAGGAGTCTTGCGTACCGGTTTGGGGGAGATTGCACTTGAGGGATTTTCAACAAAAGTGGTGTCAGTAGTCCTGGAATATGACGCCTTCATCAGCAAAATCCATCAAATATAGTATGTAGTCATGAGAAACAATCAATGACCCACATGAATGTCGTTTCGCCTTCATTAGCCGGCCGATTTTGCTCCACTTCAGCTTCTTGGAGAGTGTTAGTGCCATAAATTCCTGTCAGATGTAGTGCGACGTCAATACCTTTCTGAGCCTCCGCTTGTTTGGCGCGTTTAAATGATACGGGGATCGGAGCCTGCACCCGTTGATTAGTTTTGTAAGATGTTTGGTATCGCGTCGCCATACCTCTGGAAAATCCACACAAAAAGCGTTCATGTTTAAGCCATAAAGAAAGCTGGCAAAGCTCTCGCTGAAGCGTGTAAGACTCTCGTGCATCAACTGGAGGTGCATAAAGTTGGCCTCGAGATCAGCCATGGAGTCTGCGAGCTCTGCAAACTGTGGTTCGAGCGCATTGATCGCAGGTTGGGTATAGCCTGCGTTGCTGATACTGCCTCCATAGCCATGTGCTTCACGTAATGACGACCGGGAACTCGGTCGCAGAGGGGTCGTGGGCCTGGATGAAGGCCTTGGACGCGAAGACGATCGGGAAAAAGCAGTAGGATCCATAGGTGTGAGAGAGAAAATTCCGAGGTACAATGGGGAAGTGACGCAAGGCGTGATAAGACGAATTGGGTAAGGAGTGCGAAGTGCCTCAAATCTGGAAATCTGGGGGGGAAAGGTGACCAATTAATATCGGGGCACCGATAATGGGAAGGCGTGTGGATGGTAGATTGGATTTTGTTTTGTTGACGCCGTCTGTTGATCCCCCGCTTTTGCGCTGGAGCCGAATGACCGACGGCAGTTGCCTCAGGCGGCCAGGCCCTAAATTTAGTGGCGCCGGTGGCTCAGGGGGGAAGACCCTCAGGCGACCCTTTCTTAGCTTCTCTCCGGAACTCCCTTTTGCCTCCTCTTTTTTTTTTTATTTTGTGAAATTCCCCGCATATCCCCGGTTCAATCAAACTTTTTCAGGGGTTGGATCTTCGTCTGTCTCACTTCAAATAACGAAAGAGGGGAACACCAAAAAGTTGTTATCGTCTTGTCATTTGCTAATAGCACATGCATACTGGTTGGTTCTTGCGCCGCCGTCTCTTACTTTCCTCGGCCAGATCCATCCAATCTGTCTCATCTTACTCTGCCAGTGCACAGATCTTCCCGAAACACCTGGGTACAAGTTCGTGCTTTTTAATTGCGTCGAATCCACCCAAACGCCCTTTCTCCACTTTACCAGTATCACCTCCTAACGAACCGAGGAAGGCTTCATCTTTTTGGGCGATCACATTCACATTAGCTATTGTCTGTGGAGCGACCTGGCTGCAAGATAAATACCGTCATCCCGGAATCGATTCCCAACTCATTTCGGACCCTCCGGAATTTGATCAAGACAAGCCTCCCTTTCTCGGTGTAATAGATACCCTTAAAACAATGCCTATCCAAGCTGCCCCCGGAACCGTGGGCAACCTCACCCCAGAGCAGGAAGTCAAACTTCAGGAGTTTTGGGTCCTGCTGCTGAAGGTATGCGGCGTTAACGTGGAGGGAATTGAAACGAATGGCGATGTCGCCGCGCCCCCAAGCCCGTCGTCCCAGAAGAAAGCGGCACCAAAGCGGAGGTTCACCTTCTTTGGTGGAAAGAGCAATGACGAGGAGGAGGACACCCCAACGAACGGTGTTACAAATAGCATTGCTTCCATCAACATCACCGATGGAGATGACAAGTATGGACAGTCCAAAGAATTCCAGCAAGCAATTACCGACATGAAGCCTGAGGAGATTCGGGTTACACTGTGGAACATGGTGAAGCAAGATAACCCCGACTCCTGCTTCTGCGTTTCCTTCGGGCGCGCAAGTGGGATATCAAGAAAGCACTCATCATGCTGGTCTCCACAATCAGGTGGAGATTGCAGGATGTGAAGGTCGACGATGATATTGTTAAGAATGGCGAACTGGCTGCCCTACAGCAATCGAAGAGCTCTGACCCTGAAGAGAAGAGAAAGGGCGAAGAGTTCCTGGAGCAGATGCGCATGGGCAAGGGCTACATCCACGGTGTTGACAAAGATGGACGGCCTATCTGCGTTATCAGAGTGCGCTTGCACAAGCAGGCCGATCAGGGCACGGATACCTTGGATCGGTTTACTGTGTACACTATTGAATCTGCCCGGATGATGCTCTCGCCTCCAGTTGAAACAGCCGTAAGTTTCCTATTCCTGCATGAGCGGAATCCAAACAGCTAACCTGAGGTAGTGTGTTGTCTTCGACATGACCAACTTCTCTTTAGCAAACATGGTATGTATCCCTTTTTTGGTCTACATACGAACGTTTTCTAACATACACTAGGACTATCATCCAGTTAAATTTATGATCAAGTGCTTCGAAGCTAATTATCCCGAATGCCTTGGAGTTGTGCTTATCCACAAAGCCCCTTGGATCTTCTCCGGTTCGTATCCTCTTCTGCGTTGTTAATAAGCCTCTATCTAACATATGCTGTATAGGAATTTGGAATATCATCAAGGGCTGGCTTGATCCCGTGGTTGCATCCAAGATCAACTTCACCAAGAATATCTCTGACCTTGAGAAATTCATCCCCAAGGATCGCATTTATAAGGAGCTTGAGGGCGATGAGGACTGGGAATACAGCTATGTCGAGCCCAAGGCTGATGAAAATAAAACGATGGAAGATACAGCCAAGCGGGATGAGTTGATCAAGGAAAGACAACAGCTTGCTCAAGACCTCCAAGATACCACGATTGAGTGGATCACGGTCAGCAGGAAGAAGGACGAGGCGGCCACCAAGGCAGTGGTGGAGAAGAGAGAGGCGCTCATTGAGCGATTGAGGGTCCAATACTGGCAGCTCGACCCGTACATTCGCGCTACCTCGCTGTACGACAGACTGAACGTTCTCCAGGGCGGAGGAAAGATTGATTTCTATCCGGCTGAAGCCAAAGCGAACGGAACTACTACGAACGGTGCCACGAATGGCACCTCCCACTAGATCGGGGTTTCCAGGTGTTTAGATTTCATTGATAGAAGGCCATTTAGGTATTCGGATCATGCATGTTTCTTGTATATAATGGGATTTGCTTATACAATGCCGTCTGTCAGAATGAGTAAATGTATTCTTCTTTCTCCTATACAAGGCGTAATGTATCTGACCCAATGGACTAAGTTTGTCAACTCTATCCCTGCCCTATCTGCAGCCCAATACTAAAGCTGCAGATATCTTCGGAGAAACTGCCGCATGAAGCAATGATCTTACATCTTACATCTTACCAAAATTGAGACAAGCCCAGGGCACTATTTTTAGACTCGGGAATACCTGCCAAAGGAGCATGGACATCAATGAAACCGTCCATTTATCAGATGAAATCGAAGTGGAACTCAAGGGTTGCCCACTCCATTACGAATGAAACCGCTCAGCTGCTATGCTACACACCGCTCGAAGAACAACATTCTCGCTCTCCTTTCTGCACGGGTTACAACAAACCAAGCCAGCCATAGCTTACACAAAGAGTTAATGTAATCTTTTATTGACCAAGGATATATATCAGATGCGGTGTCACCAGGAGAAACGTGATACAAGTGCCACCAGACGCTTTCAAATCAGGTCTAGTGACACGGCACGGAGTATACACAGCCATTGTGACATCTAAATCTTGGACTTGAGTTCCTCGTGGAGAGCCTTGAGCTTGTCCATGTCCGTAGCCTGGGCGGGCCAGCCGACACCGAGACCCTCCGTCTCATTAGGCTTGGGGATCTGCAACGAATTAGATTAGCCTCGGTTCCATAAAGCAGATACCGGAGCGGCGGCCGTTTCAGAATCGAAATTGAGGAAAGTGGTTCCTGTCAACCCAAAAAACGAGCCAAGCTAACGTACCATATGGAAATGAACCTATTAACGAGTTAGCAAAGCATCCACAAAATCAGCAACATTTAGCCCCATCAGGAGGGGGAAAGGGTTTGGACATACATGTGGAACAACCTGGTGAGCGATCGTGCCGTTGTTCTGGAGGACGTTGAAGTCCGTGGCGTCGGCGGCTTTGGCGAGCTTCTTTGCGACGGGCTATTCAATACAAGTCATGCGTGGTTAGCTCGTTCGGTTTGTGAGAGGCCTGAAGCTGTGGGGGATGATTGGGTTCCCCGTGCAAGGCTCTTCTCGCAAGGTCCTCAGGTGCTGGGACCTTATTTAAGGCGAGCCCGGTCCGGGTTGGGTGGTCACATACCAAAACTTCGTTGAGGTACTCGTCGGGAATATCAGTGAGTTTTTCGCCGTGGAACTTGGGGATTATGAGCTGTTATTCGTTTGTTAGCGTTGCGGTTTACATGACTAGAAGGAATACATATGATCTGGAGGCGGTTGTTGGATGGAATTTAAGGCGAGCATCTTCGCCTCGATAGAGGGTGGCTGAGAGTTGGGATTGCCGTGCGGGGATAAAATAGTAGACAACATTCAAGGAGTGAACACTTACCGCGTGGCCACGGCTCAGAGGCTGGATGTCAAGGAAAGCGAAGATCTTGTCGCTCTCGAAGAGCTTGAAGGAAGGGATATCACCTGTTGTTGTCCGTACGTATGTTAGAAACGGCTGCCATTATTGCTCGAGGAGCTTCACCCATGACGAAGTTGGGGCAAAACAAATGCTATAGAATGTAGAAAGTCTAAAATGGCATTGGATAGTCATTACCCTTGATGATCTTGCAGAAGATACAGGCGGCAGAGGAAGACATGTTGGTATAGCAGTGTTTTGTATTATGGTATGAGGTATATAGTAAGGGTACACTGAGGAATCGAAATCGAAATTGAAGAAAAGTGTTATGCTTGCTGATGCGGGGTTGCAACTTGGGAGGCGGAACGCGACGGGGGATCTTCCCGTATGGAACAGGTAGATTGGAACTTGTGAAAAAGAAAAAGAAAAAAGGCCAGTGTGGTGGCAGTGAAGGGTTTCGAACCGACGCTTTCTTGGCAATTGAGGAGGGGATAAATATCACAATAAAGGTCACTGATGTGAGGAGTGGGACAAGCTAGTTCAGAACCCATTTCTTGCCTTTTACCAGAGATGGCCGTGGTTTGCCCACAATACTCCTCTACTGAATCTTTGGACCTTTCCATCGACACAGTTGTCGATTTTTATTGTTTTATTTTTTGCCAGCGTGATAAATACCGTCTTCTTCTTTCCTGACTTTCTTTTCCTAGCTCTTATAAGGTGGTAATGGGTCTGGTCTCAAATATGGTGCGTGGGCCATCTCTACTTAAACTCGTGTCCGTAAGAGTACGAGACATATCTTCCTTCCTCCACGTGCTGGAATAGTCCACTACTGCTGCAGAGCAGGTTCTTGTATATCTATCTGAAGATCACTTCATCCACATTTCAAATCTGAAACTATTAGTCGGCATTGATCCCATGACGGACCATACGAGCTTTGGATCATGTTGGAGTAAGGGCATCTGGGAGCGGACAATTGTCCGCTCCCAATCTATTATCTATACGGATGTCTAGCAAGGGATTACCCCAACAGCCAAATTGGAGAGAGCAACCAAGCCCGATCCCTGTAGGCTATCCTAAATAATAATTTGATCTTAATTGACCTCCAATTTGATGAGATCGCCGAAAAAAGATTAACCCCGCAGAGATATCTTATCACATCTCCCCGGAATTGTCTTATCTGTCCATCTCCAACAGCCAACATTTACATCTCTACCACCCCCTCTTTTGCGTATATATCAGAGGGCAGCATGGCGTCTTTCATTTCTCCCAAGTCTGCTACGGTATTACTCAATAGATTACCGGTCAGATCGAGAGTATTGCCATTCACAAGGACAGTGCCGATCCAACCACGCCGGGCATTCTCCGTTTCTCTAAAACAAGCCATGTTGACGACAGAGCTATCCGAGGCCGAGGTTTCGGCGCTTAGAGCTAATAAGGACCGCCTTGCAAAAGACCTTCATCACAGTTGTCAATGGGGGTTTGGTATACGCTGGGGAGAGTAAGTATACACCAGCTTCAGACCTCTTGAGCCACACTAGCATCGAAAAGATTCATTTATGAAGCATAAGCCATAATCAAAGTGCAATTGAATCCTGTTGTTTCTTTTCAATGCCGCATTTATATCCTCCGTCAACATAGGCATATACTAGTTCCGGTAGACTAACTCCTAGCCTAGTGGACTGACGGACACTGGAATGCAGCGCCTGACGCTGTCTGAAGAAGACAAATCCGTGCGAGACTGGTTCATTGAAACAACAAAAGCGTTAAAATGCAAAATCACGATTGATGAAATGGGCAATATCTTCGCTGTGCGTCCCGGACGGAGAAAGGATGTGCCCCCGACATTCATCGGCAGCCATCTAGATACGCAACCAACAGGTGGTCGCTACGACGGGATTCTGGGTGTTCTCTCAGGTATTGAAGCGCTAAAAGTTATTGATGAAATGGGCCTGGAGACAGAAGGAGGCATAGGCGTTGTAAACTGGACGAAGTAAGTGACCTCTTAGTCAACTTGAACGATTTCCAATCGCTTACGCCAATGTCCCTATAGCGAAGAGGGAGCGCGTTTTCCCATCAGTATGGTCTCTTCTGGCGTATGGGCCGGTTCTATACCTCTTTCACGGGCACATGGGCTCAAAGAAGTACCAACGGTGGCTTCTCTCCCCACTGCATCTTCTGCCCCAGAGTCGTTGAAATCGGCACTCGAAAAGATCGGCTATCTAGGAGACGTTCCATGTTCCTATGAGGCAACTCCCATGGCAGCTCATTTCGAGCTTCATATCGAACAGGGGCCTCATCTGATTTCGGCAGGTCAACGCGTTGGTGTTGTCACTGCCGTCCAAGCCTACCGCTGGTATCGAGTCAATGTGACGGGTAGAGACACCCACACAGGTACCACGGCGTTCCAACATCGTGCAGATGCGCTGTACGCCTTCGCTCAAATGATGGTGCGTGCTCGGGAAGTTGCCTCTTCTCACGGTTGTTTAGCCAGTGTCGGCATCGTCGAGGCGAAACCTGGTAGCGTCAATACCGTGCCCGGTCTTGTCAGCTTCTCTCTCGATATTCGCGGTCCCGAAACTGAATTGGTCGCAACTGTGGAGGAGAAACTGAGGAAGGAGTTCGACGCCATTGCAGCGGAAGAAGGCAAGGGCATTGGTAAGCCGTGTCGGGTCGATTGGACTGTAGAGTTTGACTCTCCAGCGGTCAAGTTCCACCCAGATTGTATCGACTGTGTGCAGCAATCTGCAGAGGCTGTTGTCGCTGATGCGCCGGAGCCCAAATCTCTTGTGCGGACGATTATGAGCGGCGCGGGACACGATAGTGTCTTCACCTCGAAGAGGGTGCCCACCAGCATGATTTTCGTGCCATGTAAGGATGGGTTGAGCCATCATCCGGAAGAGTTCTGCTCTGCAGACGACTGTGCCACAGGTGCATCTGTCATTTTGCAAGCGGTGGTCCGGTACGACCGGAAGAGATTCTCATCGTAGATAGAGCATTTTACCCTTTCGTGTGAAGTGATCAACTGTAATGCCCTGTTTACATAGTTGAACACATTTGCAAGGATATGCCGTGAGCCTGGACTGAAGCGCTCGAGCTGTGTTGTGCATGTCATTACGATCTATGATTTCAACGTACTACAAGAAATGAAATGTTGAGTCATTAAAATCATGACATTGACTCTAGCTATCTCGTTATATCGATACAGCACCAATGCATAATTTTTTTTTTAGGATGGGCGCGGCAGCCGTTTCGAACTTATTCCAAAGTCTACTCAAGCCACTCACGCTACCATCCAAGCCCTAGGAAGACCGGACGACATCCCTTAAGAAGAGGGAGCACCACCACGGCCACGGCCGAATCCACCACGGAAGTTAGGGGCGAACTCGCCGGGAGCACCACCCTCCTTCTCCTGGTCGCGGCGGCGGTAGCCACCCTCACGGGTAGGACGGGGACGGCGCTCGCGCTCCTCACCACCCATCATACCACGAGGGGGAGCGTGGGAACGCTGCTGCTTGATGTGGGTGGCAGGGACAACCTCAGCGGGGAGGTGGAGCCACTCACGGAGGTAGTCAAGACCCTGGGAAGGAACAGGTTAGACAACGCATCCTCATTGTGAATACCGGCAATTGAACGGTTGTAAACATACCTCGGGGGTGAGGGTGTAGTAGTAGTACTGCCACGAGAACTGGGTCTTGACATAGCCGCGGGAGTTGAGGGACTGGAGGGCCTTGATCACGTAGAGGTTCTTGGTGTCAATGTCGCCATGCTTGGACTCGAAGTCCTTCTTGGCCACGAGCACACCCTCTGTTCAGGTAATCAGTCAGCGACAGCGGTCTTCAAAGAGCGAGGTGGATTGGTCCGGTCAATGCGACAGGAAGCTGGAGGCGTCGTTCACATACCGCGGAAGAGGTACTCGTGGATCTTCTTGCGGTCGTCCTTAGGGATAAGCCTGAAGAGTTATTAGCATTACATAGCTTATCAATTATGAATAATGACCTGTAAACTTACATTGTTGCGAGTTCCTGGCGCTCTTCGGGGAATCGCTCTAACAACGCGAAGAGGGTGGTGGTTGGTTTAAATGATGGATGGGATCGAGTGGAGCGACTGGCGGTTAAGTTCAAAGTGCGTGATTCCTCTTTCGGAAGCGCATGCTAGGGTTGCCGCCCTAATCGATTTGGCTTAGTCACATACGCCCTTATCACCATGTGATCGATGAGGGCGTGTTGCTGCCTGAGGCGTAGACGCAATCTTCCGTCGCCCGTTTCTTATCAACTCCACCTCATTTGCCGCCTCTCATCACCCATCAGAGTACATCACAGCAGACCGCAGCCGCGACTTTGCGACCTCTTTCTACCTTAATACCCGCAGCATACCTAGTGTCGGGACAAGTAAAACTCGCCAACATGGCTCCGCAAAACGTGAACGTCCTCCTCTCAACATTCCCCGGTCTCTCTCTTCCCTCCACTCTCTCATTCTCCCTCCCATCGACCTCGTCTATCTCCGACCTCACCGAGAAGGTTTCCTCATATATTCCGTCATCCGTACCTCTCCAGTCGCTTATCTTAACTACGACAAACAACAAACAATTACTCCCTTCTTCAGACCTATCAATCTCACATCTCATTGCTCCTAATGGCGAACTCACTGCGACATCAAACCTCCTCCCCCTCCGCCTTTCGGTGCCCCTATGCGGAGGAAAGGGTGGCTTCGGCTCCCAGCTTCGTGCAGCTGGTGGGCGCATGTCAAGCAAGAGAAAGCGCAACCAGGGCGACGATAACGGCTCAAGTCGCAATCTCGATGGTCGCCGTATCCGTACCGTCAACGAAGCCAAAGCGCTCGCCGAGTATCTTGCAGTCAAGCCGGAGATGGACCGCAAAGAGAAGGAGGAGCGCCGACGGAGGTGGCAGGCTGTTGTGGAGGCTGCGGAGAAACGCGAGGAGGAGCTGAAGAATGGCGGCGGCAAGCAGAAGATTGACGGTCAGTGGATGGAAGATAAAGAGGAGATGAACGAGAAGGCTAGGGAGGCTGTTCTTGCGGCGATGAAGGATGGCATGTGGACGGACAATCTTCATGATGTTATACGTGATAATATCTTGGGCGGGTCTAGTACGAGTGCCAGTGAGGGAAGTGAGCAGGAGTCTGCTTCTGCGTCGGAAGAGAGTGAAGACGAGCAGGAGATGAAGGATGCGCCGGGCCCGTCAGAGCCGGCTCCCAAGTCTGCAGCCCCGCGAAAATTCATTGGATTTGATGATGACGATGAGTTTATGAGCGATTCTGAGGAAGAGGAGAACGATCAAACGGACGATACTAAAGGGAAAGGCAAGGCGAAGGTTTAAATGGGTGTTCTCTCGAGTTTTTCTTTTTCTTGTTGCAGCGTCTAAAAACCCCGGTGTTTCAAGGATCTGGATAGTTTGTTACTTGTAAATAATTCAACTATTTTCTTCAATTTCAATCGTAATACTATTCGCTTCAATAGAATCCTACGTTATAGTTCGTAGAATTTCCATGGGTTGCCACGGGACTTGTTACGGAAACCGGAGCAGGTTACCGCCGCTATCAACGCTATCAGTTCAAGCTTTTGATCTCTGTCGCAGATCACCTCCGGTCTTCCAACTGGGAAAATTTGTACCGTCATGTCGCTGTATCTTGGGCGCATAATTCAAAGAGCCCCTCGATTAAAATATTTCCTTCCCCGCTGTTCGCGCCAGTTACACCAGCTCCCCGGAGCGCGATCCTCACAGAGCTTGTTTCTGCACCCAGAGGTGCTGTCCGTTCGGAATGCAGACGGCCTGATCAGAAAACCGCAGCGACGCCTCCTATCCTCGGGCCCTTCATTATGTGCGAAATCATCAGAGCTTACTGACCTTGTTCTACCCGTCTGCTGTCCGGGATGTGGTGCATACGCGCAAACCATCGAGCCCGGCGAACCAGGATACTACAGCAAAACCAGAAAGCAAACACGGAAGCTCTTGTCCGAGACAGCACAAGCAAGTGGTGTGCAGGATGGAGAGACGGGGGAGGTAGCGGATCTGAAGGCAGAGGGAGAAAAGGCTGCAGGCACAATCCAGCAACTAATCAAGGAGTCAGAGGCAGAAGCGGCCGCTCCTAAGCCTGTCCGTACGTGGTGTTTATCCTGTTGCCTTCGGAAAGGATACTAACAATACTGTTTAGATGGCGCTTTACTTGAAAATGCTGCAGCCACTGCTAAAGAGTACATTGAAAAGTCGCGACCCCCTGTGCAGGTTTGCGATAGATGTCACGATCTCATACACCATAACAAAGCGGTTCCTGCGATTTCACCTACGATATACTCCATTGGGGCTTACCTTGACGAGTCACCATACAAATATAACCGGATCTACCACGTAATTGACGCAGCAGATTTTCCCATGTCTCTTGTCGATAATATATACGAGGCACTTTCCATCGAGGAACAGCGGTCGCGCAACCGGCGAGCTTCCACCGAGAAATACCGAGGAGGAAAGAAATTACCTACTATCAGCTTCATCATAACACGCTCTGATCTTTTGGCTCCTACCAAGGAACAGGTGGACTCAAAAATGGAATATGTTCGCTCGGTCCTGCGAGAGGCACTTGCTAAGTCGACCGAGGATTTCCGTCTGGGCAATGTGCATATGATAAGCGCTCACCGAGGCTGGTGGACTAAAAAAGTCAAGGAGGAAATCAAGAACCACGGAGGTGGTGTCTGGGTAGTGGGCAAGGCTAATGTCGGGAAGAGCAGTTTCATAGAAGCTTGCTTTCCCAAGGATTCTAAGAACCTTGAGAAAATTGCTGAATTGGTTGAGCGTCGCCAAGCAGAGTCGAATATCAGCCCACGCGACGCCATCATGGCTGATTCTGACAGCATTCTACCACCTGCCCCCCAGGAAGACCTTTATCCTGTCCTGCCGGTTGTTTCGTCGCTGCCAGGGACTACTGTTTCGCCGATTCGCATACCATTTGGCCGTGGCGGAGGAGAAATGATCGATTTGCCCGGCATGGATCGGGGCGACCTAGCAGACTACGTCCGTGACGAATACAAACGAGACATGATCATGACTAAACGGAGAAAACCAGAACGGTATACTATAAAGTCAGGCCAATCACTGCTACTAGGGGGAGGCCTTGTGCGAATCACGTCGGTGAACCCTGACGAGGTACTAATGGCAGCTTGTTTTATCCCGATCGAGGCCCATGTCACGAAGACTGAAAAAGCCGTTGAAATGCAAGCTGAACAGCGTCCTTATCCTGGGGAGAATATCATGATAGAAGGCGTCGGCAACCAAATTACTTCCGCCGGAATCTTTGACCTTAAATGGGACGTGACCCAGTCGCATCTACCAACGACGATCGCGAAGGCAGTGGAGGATAAGGGGATAAAACCCCCTCCTCTGCCATATAAAGTGATGTCGGCAGATATACTCGTTGAGGGGTGCGGTTGGGTCGAGCTCACGGCTCAGATCCGTGCCAGGTCTACAGACGGCGAGTCTGCCAGGTCGTTACCGCAGGTTGAGATATTCACTCCGAACGGACGACATGTTGGCGTGCGACGTCCCATTGAATGCTGGAAGTACGTCGCAGAGAAACAGGCTGTGGAGAAACGTAAGAAGGGCGCACGAGGGCGACAAAGTATCGGGCAGAAGAAGCGTGCCCATCATACATCTAAAGTCTGATCGGCCGTACAACAATGTTCTACGGCTGTTCCGGGGCTACTGTTATAGTTCCCTTCCAGATTCCTTTCAACATCTGTACAGCATATAGCATAGCGATTGGTGTTTTGACCGGGCATTCATTGTGGAGGAAAGATCCACTACTGTACTTATATCCTCCTGATTATAGACATAGACGTCTCCTATTCAAAAAAGTTTCATATTATACTGAGACTGCCAGGAGGTAAAATGTATCTTCAGTGATGTAACATTCTTATTTAATTCATTATTATTACCATACAAACTCCCTTGAGTAACCGTGATCCCATCCCTTGTGAACAATAACAGAAACTGGTGCTGATCATAAAGCATTCACATCAAGCCTGCATAAATATCGCCCTCGGCCACCTCTTCCTGATCTTCCTTGATGTCATCCCTGATTTTGTCGAGTTCGCTCTCCTTTTCGGGGGCCTCGTTTCCCCGAGACTCAGGGTGGTCCTGGCGTTGTTCCTGGTCTTGGTGATGGTGTTCCGGGTGGAGGATCCGATCGAAGAAACCCTGGTGGTGGTGCTGCTGCTGTGGCTGTGGATGCGAATCTGCGGGCCATCAGTCTGGCAGCCAGTCAGGCTTGGCAAGGCTTGACCAACCTTCCGACATGGTGGAGTCTGGTCTGGAAATCAATAATAGTACGGTAGGGTTATCTCTATATGTTTGTTCCTTTCCCGGATCGCTCGAGGTATGTGGAATTTGCTCTTCGGATATAGGCAATGTGAAGTAAGATTGTGCCACCGGAGGACAACCAGAGATACCGGACAACTTAAATGCATATAAGAGTAACAAGTCAATGACTTCAGAAAAGCATACAGAGTGCAGGACGTCATGTCCCAGAGTCGTCGCAAAGGGACCTGGAATTGATTGGGTCCGTAGTACTACTACATCCGGTAAGGTCGGACCCTCCCCAAATGCCAGCTCCATCTCAACCACAACTAGTCCAGATGACAGAAATAGCACGGCTTCCAATGAGATCCCCGGGATTAAGAATGCTGCTCAGTAGTGAGGGGTTTCTCTGATTGCGGCAAGGAGCAGCCCCAGTCTAGACTGCGTGCGCATCACCCATCCTCGCATCAGCATCCCGCAGTTAGGGTTTCCCGTGGGTACTCGCCCGAACTCAGAGCTTCGAATGACGGCACCACACCCCATCTCCAACCGGACTTTTCGCATATATACCTTCAGTTAAGCCAATGGGACGCACAGGAGTGGAATGAACGTCCTGCTCTGGTGGTACTCGGAATCGAGACTACTGCAGAGGCCTCTGCATGGCCAACGCAGAAACTAACGCATAATACTGACGTAATTGGTAGAGCCTGCAATGGACGAGCCCAAACAGGAACAACTACCTTATTGCGTAGTTGATCGTGGGATGTGACGGAGCTGTCAGGCTATATAGCTCTGTCAACCCCTTCCCTTGGCCATTGGGAAAGGATCCATCCACTCTACTTTACTGCTGTACCTCTACCATTGACTGCAGATACCAACCTCAACATGGCCGAACGCTACTATACTCTGGCAGAAGGTGATAACCCAATTGAGAATTTAGATCTTGGTAGCTTTCGGGTCCACTAACGGAAGCAGGCTGCCCTTTTGCTAGCAACAGCTCCACCGTTCAACTGCGGAACGGCTCTGGTGGTGGGCTTTCTTTGCTCCAAGATACACAACTCATTGAGACTCTCGCCCATTTCTCTCGTGAGAGAATCCCTGAGCGGTAAGCATCCTTCACTTTCTACATACTGGACCTTAGCTATATTGTATATATCCTAACGTATTTTTAGTGTGGTCCATGCCAAGGCAGTGGGGTAAGTGATACAACTATATACATTGCACACCACAATCAACAATCCAAGCTTATACACTCCAAAACAGCGCATATGGAGAGTTCGAAGCCACCAGCGATTGCTCCGATATTACTTCCGCTAGCTTTTTGAGCAAGGCTGGCAAGAAGTCTCCCGTCCTCCTTCGAGTGTCTACAGTTGGACCTGAAGCCGGTTCGGCTGACACTACTCGTGATGTTCACGGATGGGCCATGAAGATGTACACGGATGAGGGTAACTTGGATTGGGTCTTCAACAACACGGTCAGTATTGTTCAATTAGAAGTGTGGAATATAACTGACTTGGTCGCAGCCGGTCTTCTTTGTTCGCGACCCAATTAAGTTCCCTTCCTTGAACCGTTCGCACAAGAGACACCCTACGACTCATCTTCCCGATGCAAACATGGTGAGTAGCCCACATAATTTCCTTTTGGCTAGTGGTAAATTGATCCAATGCTAATGCTGACTGCTTCTGTAGTTCTGGGAGTAAGTATACTTGGCTCAGCACACATCAACTCCTGTATTGACACTCATAGCTTCCACGTCGGCAACCCCGAAGGTATCCATGAGCTTCTTCACCTCTTCAGTGACCGCGGAACACCCAAGTCTATCCGCTACATGAATGCCTACAGTGGACATACCTACAAGTTTACTAAGGAGGTAATCTGCCAATGCTCTCTGGATTCCTCTAGACGGCCGACGTAACTAACATGCGCGTCAATAGGACGGATCATTTAAATATATCAAGATCCACATCAAGAGCGCCGAGGGTGTTAAGAACATGTCCAGCGCGGAATCCGTCAAGATTGCAGGCGAAGACCCCGATTACCTCATTCGGGATATGCATGACGCTATCGCGAAGGGCAACTACCCCGTGTGGAACGTCTACGTGCAGGTTATGGATCCAGCCGACGCGGAGACCTACCGTTGGAACATCTTTGACATGACCAAAGTTTGGCCTCACAAGGACTACCCGCTGAGACAAATTGGAAAGTTGACTATGAACCGCAATGTATGCCTCAACCGTGCCATCCCGCTTAGGCAATAATTCAAGTGCGCGATGCTAATTCGGTCTCGATATAGCCCAAGAACTACTTCGCCGATATTGAGCAGGCGGCCTTCTCCCCGTCCACCATGGTGCCCGGTATTGCACCATCGGCTGATCCAAGTAGGTTATTTGTTCACTGAAAACATGTCCCGCTTGGCTAACCTTTATACCAGTGCTCCAAGCCCGTATGTTCGCTTACCCCGATGCGGCCCGGTACCGTCTCGGAGTGAACTACCAGCAGCTCCCGACCAACGCAGCCAAGGCACCCGTCTACTGCCCTTACCAGAGAGATGGCGCCATGCGCTTTGACGACAACTATGGCGGTGATCCCAACTACGTTGGCTCGTCCCTGCAGCCCACCAAGTTCTACCAAGAGGTGAAGAACTCGGGAGCCGCCCGACTGAGCGGACTGACCGAACACGAGAAATGGGTGGGAGAAGTGACCAACTTCCAGAGCCAAATCACAGATGATGACTTCGTCCAACCCGCTGCTCTCTGGGAAGTCCTCGGCAGGGAGCCCGGCCACCAGGACAGAACGATTGCGAACCTTGCAGGCCATATTAAGGGTGTCAACTCTCCCCAGCTGCGCAATGCGGTCTATGGTATGTGGTGACATCTATTTCTATGTACAAGTATTCTGTTGACTGACCTTGTGTAGGACTCTTTGCGAAAGTTAACGCAGACCTTGGTGAGCGTCTCAAGAAGGCAACCGAGGCCGCGGTGTCTGCGTAATTGCAGCCACCATGTTGTGGCAAAGGAGAATTACTATTTCATGAATGTTAATGGTACTTATGACGAGTTTGATGTGTTTCTTAAAACCGGCGCTACAAACTTGACGAGTATGTCATTTAATTGAGTCAAGAATAGTGACGAATTGAATGTACCTGCAAGCTTCGGATAGGAAACTTCCATCTATAGTGAGACAACACTTAAGAGTGGTCTGATTCTCTGGCTGTAATGTAGCTGACCAAGCGCGAGTTTCTCGCTTGTCTGATCTCCGTATGGTCCTGTGACTCCTTGTCGAGTCACTCTAAGCGTAGAATGTCGGATTCATGGGCCATCGTAATCCAACTGTAGTGCTTTATGTCATACGTGTTTCCCATTGGAGGCAACTAAAGATTTACCTTTCCCATGATGCTTATCTCCGTTAGAGTGTGCGGCTCTTGCAAGATTTATACTTCGACTTGCGTCGATGACCGGTATTTGTGCAGGGAAAGCACGCTTTCTCTCCCAGGACTTCCATGCCATCATTCTAACCATGTTCCATCCACGAGGATCCGGTTTCCATGACGTAAAAGGGCCTTGAATGTGGCAAAGACAAAAAATAAACAGCCACGGCCTCACATACTGGAAAAAGACTAGCGTGATCGACCGGGCATGCTCGCTTCGACTCGGCCATCCGGCGAACAGGAGTTCTATAGTCATGGAAACACAAGTATTGGACTGTAGTCCAATAATACAGTACTTTACACTTGATCATCTCGTTCAGCTTGTACGTAGTCATTACTAAACGTACCAGTCATATGCAAAGGAGGCTCCACATCCCTTCTGCAGGTGTATAACGTGCATATACTGTAACCACTGACGATATTGGACGGCACTTCTCAGCTGAACTAGTAGAAAATCAGGTTACATTCAAGGCACATAAGACCAGGGGGGGTATACTATCATATGCTAAATCAGCCTGGGACTGTCATTTTTAAGTGATTGCTTCTCCCCCAATGCGGTTGATAGATTCAACCATCTCTATAAGAATCACCCAGTGCCTTTCCCTCAAGAGATCATTCATGGCAAGACGTGGCAGATAAGCCTCAAAACCCACTCGCCATGCAAGTCAACACACGCATTCACACTACGGACTCGGATGCGCTCCTCATTAGCCTCTACGCCATATTTTTCATATATTTTGCCGTCAACCGGGGCAAATCGTACCGGGGGCGCCACAAATGTACCAAACCCACCTCTGCGCATACTACATCGCTCTTTCACAGGCACTAACAAACCCCAGACCTACCGTGGCACGTCCTCGCCGGCATAACCGAGCTAGTCCTCTACTTCAGCAACTTCAATTGCACACTCCTAGCAGTAGTAGCCTGCTATGTCCATTCCCTCACCTCCCTCAGTCTGGTCAAACGACTCCCAAACGGCTATCCTCCACACACCCGTAAGCCCCAACCCCAATATCCTTCCCACCAACAAAACCTAGAATGAAAAGAAAACAGGTCCAGCCTACCAAGGAGGCAACCTCCTCCGCATGTATCAAATCCTCCAAGCGTACGCCTCCCAGGACCCCGTCGACTACCACGACGCCATCGTGCCCATCCACAGTTTCCTCTACGCCCGCATCATCATCTTCCTCTTCGGGACGATGGGCCCCAGCCTATCATTCTCCAAGAACGTCAATTCACGCTTCGTCTACGCCGAGGCTATCTTCGGGAGTGCGTTGATCAGTATCGGACACTGTACGAAGCCGAGCGCGATAGTTGCGTATTTGTTGCTCGTGCATGCTGTCGGGAAGATTAGTACGTTTGCTGGGAGGAGGGCTTGGGAGGAGAGGTATGTTTTTCCCCCCTTCTATTTTCGTTTTTCTTCGATTTTTCTTCTTTTCTGTTCTGCTTTCTTCTTTGGTGACTATGTTTAACAGTCTGCTAACCTGAATGTATTTGCCAGAACGAAGAAACCACCCCGGGAGCCCGGGTTGCTAATTAGGGCTCTGAGGTTCGTGGGGTTTTTTGAGGACCGTTTGGACTGGGCGGACGAGGCGATGGCTTCTGCTGATAAGACTCCGCAGATTGGGAATCTACCGATGGATAAATTGGGACATCAGTATACGAGGCTTGGGTTTGAATGATGAGCATGATAGGGGAAGGTGGTGGGATAGTTAAGGTCTAAAGTTATAAGTAACGTTTACTAAATACTTGTTGTATTTAGTTGACGATGCTCGCACCCGAGTGGGGATATATAGATATTGTTTAGATATATGATAGATGCATATGCCGGTCATGCTATTGACATGGTTGAATTGAATATAACTACCAAGCTGGGAGGCCCATATAGTTGTGTGGATACTAACTAGGGTTGGCTGGCTAGATGCAGAGTCAATGTGGATCTGCCCCTCTTGATCGGTAGTAAAAAGAAATCCAAATCAACCCTGATAAACCCTGACACATACTGGCTATGAACTTCTCATGATATGTCAAACGCGCCGAAGTATATATCGGGAAACTCGTACTGCAAATCACCCGTTTCACGAACCCTAAATAGCTCAAGTCCGCTGACATAACGGCAGATCGTCTGTATAGCAGCGCCCAAGGTCCTTTCCTTTAAGCAGAAATACAGTTGTTTGCGTCCTATCTATCCCGCTTCATTAAATTGAAACCAGTGCTTGAATATCCTACCAGACATCCCTAGAACCAACATGCTCTCCTCGCGCGGCATCAAGAAGGCCGAATTGCCTAAGACTCCTTGGCGATATGCCCCTCCACATACATACAACAAGCAAAGCAACCCCGCGGGGCTGATCTCATTTGGCATGGCGGAGCATGTATGCTGTTTCTTGGGCAGCTATATTATCTATCTTCTTGCATTCACTAACGGTCAGGTAGATCCCAATGCGGGCCGAGATAGCAAAGTACATCAACAACAAGGTCTGAACTACTCTGATAGTGTTACTCTTTCATCTATATCCCTGAGTTCACCTCCACGCGCAGGTCACATTCACCGAAGACTCCGTTGGCTATGGATCCAGTTCCTCAGCTCCCAATCGTCTGCCAAACGCAGTGGCCGTCCACCTCAACAATATTCTACAGCCGCGTTCGCCTGTTGACCCAGACACAGTCATCGTCGCCAGCGGCATCACAGCCATCGGGAGCATGCTCGGCTTCACCCTGGCCGAGCCCGGGGACGGTATCCTAGTCAGTCGACCGGTCTACGGCCGCTTCGAGCTTGACTATGGCGTCGAAGCAGACGTGCAGATCGTGTACGCAGACACGGATCCCGAGGAGGCGTTTACCCCCGCCGTGGTGGAGAAGTACGAGGCGGCGCTTCAACGTGCAGAAGACGAGGGCACCACGATCCGGGCAGTGTTGATTGTGAACCCGCATAACCCTGTCGGTAAGTAATATAATATCATCCATGGAAAAATCCTCGCACTCCCTGAACAGAGTACTAGGGCGCTGCTACCCAGCCGAAACACTGAAAGCAATCCTCCGGTTCTGCAATAGACACAGCCTCCACCTCATCAGCGATGAAGTCTACGCCTCCTGCGTCTTCGACTCGGGAGACCCAAGCGCAGTCCCCTTCACCTCCGTCCTATCTATCGCTACGCCTGAACTGATCGACCCTGATCTCGTCCACTTACTCTACGGCTTCAGCAAGGTCAGTCATGTTCCACCATCTACCATCGCAAAACTAACACATAGGAACCAGGACTTCGCAGCCGGAGGCCTCCACCTCGGCTTCTTAATCACGCAGAACACGGCCCTCCGTCAAGCTTGTAAAGCCATATTGTCAGTTCCCTCCCTACTCCACTATCCCGTCCACATCAAACATTTAGCTAAGATGCAATACATACACAAAGGAGGCTGCACAACGCCTCAACAGCCTCCATAACAATCGGGACAACCATCCTCGAAGACCAGGAATTCATCACCCAGTTCACCCAAAGAGCCCGCCAAAGCCTAGCATCGACATACCGACTCGCCACGACAACATTCGACCACGAAGGTGTCAATTACGTCAAAGGAGGGTAAGCAAGACTAATACCTCCCTCCCCCATCCTCTCTGCTTCATCCCCCCTGTCGAGCCTCCACCATGGCAAATTTGTTTATGCGTTGCTGACCGTGTCTAGAAACGCCGGTTTCTTCATCTACGTCGACCTCTCGCCCTACCTTCCGTATCCTGGTCGCCCGGTCCGGGAGCGCGAGTTTGCCCTGGCGCAGAGGTTCCTGGACGCCGGGGTGTTTTTGCATCCGGGTGAAGAGCATGGGGTGGAGGCGGGTGGTTTAGGCTTGTGTTTGCGCATGAGGAGGAGGTTTTGAGGGTGGGGTTGAGGAGGTATG